TCTCATCCTTCTTCACTCCAATGAGAAAAGCCCTAGCTCCCTCAACCTTTCCTCATAAGACCTGCCCTCCAGTCCAGGCAGCATCCTGCTAAATGTTCTCTGCACCCTCTCTAAAGCTTCCACAACTTTCCTATAATGAGGCAACCAGAACTGAACACATTATTCCAAGTGTGGTCTAACCAGGGTTTTATAGAGTTGCAGCATAACCTTGCGGCTCTTAAACTCAATTCCCCTGCCAATGAAAGCCAATGCACCATACGCCTTCTTAACAACCCTATCAGCTTGGGTGGCAACTTTGAGGGATCTATGGACATGGACACCAAGATCCCTCTGTTCCTCCACACTGCCAAGAATCCTGCCATTAACCCTGTATTCTGCATTCAAATTTGACCTTCTAAATGAATCACTTCACACTTTTCTGGGTTGAATTCCATCTGCCATTTCTTTGCCCAGCTCTGCATTCTGTCAATGTCCCTTTGCAACCTACAACAGTCCTTCACACCATCCAAAACTCCACCGACCTTCATGTCATCGGCAAACTTACTAACCCACCCTTCCACTTCCTCATCCAAGTCAGTTATAAAAATCACAAAGAGCAGAAGTTCCAGAACAGATTCCTGCGGAACACCACTGGTCACCGAGCTCCAGGATAAATACTTTAATACATCTAAATACATCTACTAAAAAAATTGAAAGAACTGTGGATGCTGTAAATCAGGAACAAAATAAAGTTGCTGGAAAAGCTGAACAGGTCTGGCAGCATCTGTGAAGGAAAAAACAGAGTTAACATTTCGGGCCCAGTGATCCTTCCTCAGAACGGATCCGAAACGTTAACTCTGTTTTTTCCTTCACAGATGCTGCCAGACCTGCTGAGCTTTGCCAGCAACTTTGTTTTGTTATTTTCCATCTACTACCACCCTCTGTCTTCTATTGGATAGCCAATTCTGTATCCAGACAGCCATATTTCCCTGGATCCCATGCCTCCTTACCTTCTGAATGAGCCTACCATGGGAACCTTATCAAAAACTTTGCTAAAATCCATATACACCACATCCACTGCTCTACCTTCATCAATGTGTTTTGTCACATCCTCAAAGAATTCAATAAAGCTTATGAGGCATGACCTGCCTCTCACAAAGCCATACTGACTATCCACAATCAAACTGTGCTTTTCCAAATAATCATAAATACTATCTCTCAGAATTCCCTCCAATAATTTGCCCACTACAGAAGTAAGACTGACTGGTCTATAATTCCCAGGATTATCCCGATTGCCTTTCTTGAACAAGGGAATAACATTTGACACCCTCGAATCATCTGGTACTACTCCAGTGAACTGTGTGGACGCAAAGATCATTGCCAAATCTCTTCCACTTCCTCATCCAAGTCATTTGTAAAAATCACAAAGAGCAGAAGTCCCAGAACAGATCCCTGCGGAACACCACTGGTCACCGAGCAATCTCTTGCAGCAATCTCTTCCCTCGCTTCCCATACTAACCTTGGGAATATCCCATCTGGTCCAGGGGACTTATCTATCCTCATGTTTTCCAAAACTTCTAGCACATCCCCCTTCCTAACATCAACCTGTTCAAGCATATCAGCCTGTTTCACATTGTCCTCGCAATCGATAAGGTCCCTCTCAATAGTGAATACTGAAGCAAAGTATTCATTAAGGACCTCCCCAACCTCCTCCAACTCCAGGCACAAGTTCCCTCCACTATCCCTGATTGGCCCTACCCTCACTCGGGCCATCCTCTTGTTCCTTACATAAGTACAGAACGCCTTGGGGTTTTCCTTAATCCTACCCGCCAAGGCTTTTTCATGGCCCCTTCTAGCTCTCCTAAGTCCATTCTTCAGTTCCTTCCTGGCTACCTTGTAACCCTCTAGAGCCCTGTCAAATCCTTGCTTCCTCAACCTTAAGTAAACTTCCTTCTTCCTCCTGACTAGATGTTCCACATGTCTTGTCATCCAAGGTTCCTTCACCTTACCATCCCTTCCTTGCTTCAGTGGGACAAACCTATACAGCACTCACAGCAAGCACTCCCTACACAACCTCCACATTTCTGTCGTGCATTTCCCTGAGAACATCTTTTTCCTATTTTATGCTCCACAGTTCGTGCCTAATAGCATTGTAAATCCCCCCCGCACAAATAAGTACTTTCCCATACCGTCTGCTCCTATCCCTCCCCATGACTATAGTAAAGGTCAGGGAGTTGTGATCACTATCACTGAACTGCTCTCCCATCGAGAGATCTGACACCTGGCCTGGTTCGTTGCCAAGCACCAAATCCAATATGGCCTCCCCTCTAGTTGGCCTATCTACATATTGAGTCCAGAATCCTTCCTGGACACACCTGACAAAATCAGCTCCATCCAAACTATTTGCACTAAGGAGGTTCCAGTCGATATTAGGGAAGTTGAAGTCACCCATGACAACAACCCTATTATTTCTGCACCTTTCCAAAATCTGCCTCCCAATCTGTTCCTCAGTGTCTCTGTTGCTATCAGGCCATCTATAGAAAATCCCCAATAATGTGACTGCTCCTTTCCTGTTTCTGACTTCCACCCATACTGACTCAGTAGACAAACCCTCCTCCACGACCTCCCTTTCTGCAGCTGTGATACCATCCCTGATTAGCAATGCCACTCCCCCACCTCTTTTACCTCCCTCCCTATTTCTTTGAAACATCTATACCCCAGAACATCCAACAACCATTCCTGCCCCTGTGTTATCCAAGTCTCCGTAATGGCCACAACATTGTAGCTCCAAGTACTGATCCATGCTCTAAGTTCATCACCCTTATTCCTGACACTTCTTGCGTTAAAATAGATGCAATTCAACCCGTCACATTGACTGAAACTTTGCCCTATCAACTGTCAATCCTTCCTCACAGACTCTCTGCATGCTGTATCTGCCTGTACACCAGCTACCCCATTCTCTGATCCGTAGCTCTGGTTCCCATCGCCCTGCCAAACTAGTTTAAACACTCCTGAAGAGCTCTGGCAAATAGCCACTGCCCGAATATAACAGTTCACTTACCCAGCAGTCCCTGTGTACGTGTTTGTACCTGCTCAGCCTTCTCTCCGCCTATTCACGAGGCAAGTATTTTATACAGAAGCCTTACCTTCCCAGCTACCCCCCTGGCTCGCGGTCTCATGACTCCCCCTGCTGAAGTGGAGGCCACTGCTTCACGAGGCAAGTATTTTATACAGAAACCTTGCCTTCCTGGCTGCCCACTCCTTTTCCTCCTTTCTAGCCCAGATGTGTTGAAGCCAGTTGTAGTAGCTGGCTGCGATCAGTGGACACCTAAAATCAAATCTAGAATGTCCCCAAGCTGTCTGGCTCCATTCCACTTTGGCCATATAATCCAAGTGAATCCACCAGAAAGTTAAAGTGATGCACTTACTGCTCAGAATAACATCTTACCTGCAAATGTTCGAGATAACTAACAACTGGAACTTTAATACAGAAGGACTTTTCTTTTTAAATAACAGCATGAATACAAGAAATATACAACAAATAGAGGTGTTTTATTTTTGTTTAATTTGGATCTTGTGAGACCATTGCATATGCTCGGGTTCCACTCGTTCAGTGGTTCTCAAAGTGTGGTCACAAAGATCCTCCAAGTAATCCACAGTTTTGTCCAAATTCATTGATGACACAATGGCTGAAGCCATAAGAGAAACCAACAGAATCCTATCCACAACACTCAATGTGTCTCATAACCAACTGGCTCTTGCATAAATCATCAGAAGCTGAAGTAACAACAATGCATTTATGTTGCAAGATCTATGTTGCTGTTACAGCACGCAACAGTGAAATGAGATTTTTAACACTTATGAGGCTGTAAAACATTGGTAAATGTGGAGCTTGGCATGACACTAAAACTCTTCAGCTTCAACTCAGGCATAAATCATTGGTTTCTCAGCAAAAGTGGTGCCATTTTTACCATTGACACTGATTTTTTTTGTGTGGTGGCAAGTGACATGTCTGGGGTAGGACTGGTGGTCCAAGTGTCTTTTAGCTCGTATAAGTGATTTACAGATTAAAACATTTGCAATGCTAATTTGGTTCATTTATCTCAGCAGCAGAATCACAAACTTAATTTTCTGTGAATCTACCACTCTGCCCTCGGCATTAGAAAGCTGGTTTAGCAATGTAAATGCTGCACTTTTGTCACACAAACTAAACATGCAAGCGCAAATTCAGTAACACTTTTGCTAAGTGGAATTTACTGTCGGTTTTCGAATAAAATTTTGATGTTGAGGCAATATTTATCCTAATCCTTTCAAGGCTGAGATAGTTCCAGAGCAATGTTTCTTCCAAAGTTAATCATTTTCGCTGTAAATTATGTAGTGATTGTGAGTGATATAAGAAAAATGATGCTTCAGTTGGTTAGTGCATTGGCCTTTCTCTTCGAACCTTGATTTGAATCTAGCCCAAGCTGCTGGCATGAGTGTTTTCTTTCTGCCAACGAATGGTCCTTAGTAAAATGTGTTTTTGAGGGTAATAGTCACACTACACAAAGTGCCCATAATCGAGTATTAATTGGCATTAAATTGGCAATCAAACTCAAAAAGGTCACAATGATGATTGGTGTGAGAAATCAAACTGTGATGCAGTAAGGATTTTCTTCTGTCTAGAATTAAGGAAAAATAATCAAACTAATGTAAATGGAGGTTTACTCTGTGTCTGACATTATTCTACTTGACATTTGTGTGCTTGATTCTAAATTGCTTACATGGAAAGTGCAACAAAATTCCATCAAAAACCCTCCTGCCTCTCACTCAACCCATTCTACCATTCATTACCTCATAAAAGTGGAATTACGCAATAAGGCTAGGGAAAGACATTTACGTTTTTCAATATTGCTGTACAGTACTCAAAATGGATGGCATTGAATATGGAACTCTCAAAAGGAAGAGAAACAATACAGTTATAAGACAGACTGAGAACTCAAGAGCTTCTTAAACATTGTCATGCATTTGCTTTCTTACAGGTGGGAAACCAACACAGACGCTAACTTCAGGTAAGGCAAATCATACAAGGTTATTTGACTACTTTGTATGAGTTAAAATTTTACATTTAGCTCAGCTAATGTCAAGGCATATTTTCTCTTCATTCCTTTGTTATGATATTTGTGTAGCCAACAGTTACTGCCTGAATCTCACATTTTCGATAAAGCATATTTAGTCCGAACGATATGTATATACAGGCACGTTCTTATGTCTGTATGCATTTGTTTATAAGAATGTAACAGATTTTCTTATAAAGTACATTTATGTATTCATCCCAATTGAGGTACTTCATTTTTAATCGTCTTTTAATCAACATTGCCACATTTTCAACTGCAAGACAGTAAGGACATTCTAGATAAGAGGAGCCCTCATATCTCGATTTCTTCCACATAAAATGATGCAATATTCCCATGTTGTTATAGAACTTAGGACAGAGTTGGTAACCAAGTGTCCTCCTTTCAATTCTGCATAGCTACCTATAAAGGCATTTTATATATTCAGGATATATTACTAAGGCTGTTAATTTACAAAGACTAAATATAAAATATTGCTTTATTTAGATTGGGGGTTTCTTGGATCTTTTAACTGTTGAGTTTCTCATTGTGCAATTCCATTTAGTTTGAGGCTACATGTTTATAACAAATAAGCCGCATTTTATTATTATTTATGATTTAGGGATCTTGAGGATTGTTACTAATGTTTGGAAATCACGTACCATAATTCGTCCATTTTTCCACAAAAGGAAACAAAAATATTTTGAGAGAGTTATATTTATTTGGTTATTTTCATGGCCTCAGCATATCCCAATGTGCATTACAGTCAACAGAGTACTTTAGATTTGTAGTTACTGTTGTCATTTAAGAAAATATCACCAGACTTAGTCATGATCAAGTGCAAAACATTTCTTTATATTTTGAAACTGACCCAGTACCTCTAAAACAAATGTATATACTGTCTCCACTATCCAGGTGAGTTATTACAATCTGTCTCACAAATGGAAATAAAATGTTGTTTCAGCTCTGTCCTTGTCATTGTTTTTTGAACAAATGTTTGGAAATATATAGGGATACATTTTCGTCCATTATCTCTGGCACAGAAATTTCCACTTTTAGAAGAAAAAGAGAATTTACGCCTGCAATTGTACATCCTATCCAGATGCATTCTAACACATTTGGTTTTTGTTTAATTTTGATTCTTAATAACTTCTATACTGTTGTCAAAGCTCTTCAAACCTTTGCAGAAGTTGCCTCAGCTGGTTAGATGGGAGATTGTTTCTTTTCTTACAAGAGAATAGATATTGCTGGCTTGGATCTGGATGGAGGAGTTTATGAATTCGGAAAAGTGTGTGGTGTTATATTTTGGTATGAAAAATGGGACAGATAACATACACATTTTTAAAGGGATTGCAAGGAGAGAGAGACTTGGGAGTTTTGACCATTAATCTGAAGATAGCAGGACAAGTTAATAGAGCAGTTAATAAAGTAAATGGTCCATATGTTTTAAATACCAAGACTGGAAGTAATGTTAAATTTCATAAAACGTAGTTGAGGTGATTAAATCCATTTCTAGAAGCTACACCTTAGAAAAGGAATGAAGGCTTTAGGAAGGGTACAGAAGAGACTTATTTACTAGAATGTTGCCAGGAAGAATCGATTATGGTGGATAAACTGAGAAACTGGTATTATTCTCTTTAGAGCAGAGAAGATTGAGAGGAGATTGAGAAGGGTAGCTCAGTGGTTAGCACTGCTGCCTCACAGCGCTAGGGACCCGGGTTCAATTCCACCCTTGGGCGACTGTCTGTGTGGAGTTTACACATTCTCCCCGTGTCTGCGTGGGTTTCCTTCGGGTACTCTGGTCCCTTCCACAGTCCAAAGATGTGCAGGCTAGGTGGATTGGTCATGCTAAATTGCCCATAGTGTTCAGAGGTGTATAGATTAGGTGGGTTATATGGGGATGGGGTTGAGGATGGGTCTGGGCAGGATGCTCCAAGGGTCGGTGTAGACTTGTTGGGCTGAAGGGCCGGTTTCCACACTATAGGGATTCTATGATTGAAAATCATACAAGCATACACATTAGGAGCAAGAGGAGGCCAATCAGCTCTTTGAGTACATCTGCCATTCAATAAGATCATGGCTAATCTTACTGTGACCTGAACTAACTTCCATGTCTACACCCAATACTTTTGATTTTTGTCAATTAAAAATCTAACTCAACCTTAAATATATTCAATTACCTAACCTTCACTGTTCTCTGAGGAAGATAATTCCACAGAGCAATGACTTTCTGAGAGAAACACATTCTCGTCTTAAAAGAGAGAAGTCATATTTTTAAATTCTTTCCAATAGTTCTAGTCTCTCCCACAAGAGGAAACAATATTTCAGTATCCAGCCTGTCGATTCCTCTCATAATGTTAGTTTCAGTAAGATCTACTCTTGATTCTTCTAAATTCAAAATGGTACAGCCACAAGCTGTCCAACCTTTGCTTTTCAGATGACCCCATCATCCAAGCAGTCAGTCAAATGAGCCTTCTCTGGACTATCTTTTGTAATTCATCCATGGAATGTAGGCATTACTGGCTAGACTTGCATTTCTTACCTGTCCCTAATTGCCCTTGCGAAGCTGGTGGTGAGGTATATTCTTGAGGTACATCTCTGCACTCCATGGAGTGTGCAAACATCCACAGGACTGTTAGAAAGGCAGCTCTAGGATTTAATTCAGTGAGAGAGAAAGGAATGCAATTATATTCTTACTTAAGTAAAGAGACCAAAGTTCCACATATGATCTCACCAATCCCCTATAAAATTACATTTTTCCTACTTCTATATTTCATTCCCCCTTGCAATAACATAAGAACATAAGAAATAGGGGCAGGAGTAGGCCATCTGGCCCAGCGAGCTTATCCGCCATTCCATAAGTTCATAACTGATCTTTCCATGGACTGAGCTCCACTTACTCATCTGCTGACTATGACCCTTAATTCGTTTACTGGTCAAAAATCTATCTATCTTTGCCTTAAAAATATTCAATGAGGTAGCCTCAACTGCTTCACTAGGTAGGGAATTTCATAGAATCACAACTCTTTGGGCGAAGAAGTTTATCCTCATTCCTAAATCTGCTCCCCCTTATTTTGAGGCTATGCCCCCTTGTTCTAGTTTCGCCTGCCAATGGAAACAACCTCCCTGCTTTCCTTCATAATTTTATATGTTTCTATAAGATCCCCCCTCATTCTTCCAAATTCCAACAAGTATAGTCCCAGTCTACACAATCTCTCCTCACAAGCTAATCCTTTCAACTCCAGAATCAACTTCATGAACTTCCTCTGCACCCCCTCCGGTATATTTTCTCAAGTAAGGAGACTGAAACTGTACACAGTAGTCCAGGTGTGGCCTCACCAGCACCCTATACAGCTGCAGCATGACCTCCCTCTTTTTAAACTCCATCCCTCTAGCAATGAAGGACAATATTCCATTTGCCTTCTTAATTACCTGCTGCAGTTGCAAACCAACTTTTTGTGATTCACGCACAAGGACACCCAGGTCCCTGTGCACAGCAGCATGCTGCCATTTTTCATCATTTAAATAATAGTCCGTTTTGCTGTTATTTCTGCCAAAATGGGTGACCTCACCTTTACTGACATTGTACTCCATCTGGCATACCTTGGCCCACTCACTTATCTGTATCCCACTGTAGACTTTCAGTGTCCTCTGCACATTTTGCTCTACCACTCAGCTTAGTATCATCTGCGAATTTTGACATACTACACTTGGTCCCCAACTCTAAATCATCTGCATAAATTTCATGAGTTGAGGAGGAACTTCTTCACCCAAAGAGTTATGAATCTATGAAATTCCCTGTCTAGTGAAGCAGTTGAGGCTACCTCATTGAATGTTTTTAAGGCAAAGACAGACAGATTTTTGAACAGTAAACTGCATAAATGAGTTCTGAGGAAGGGTCATCAGACCCAAAACGTTAACTCTGTTTTTTCCTTCACAGATGCTGCCAGACCAGCTGAGCTTTTCCAGCTACTTTGCTTTTGTGCATAAATTTCATTTCATTTGCCTTCCTTATCACTTGCTGTTCTTGCATGTTACATGTTATGATTAGTATTCCAGGGCACCTCTGTACTGCAGAGTTTTGCAATATTTCCCAATTTAAAGAACATACTGCTTTTCTGTTATTGCTGCCAAAATGAGCATGTTCATAATTTCACACATTATAGTCCACCTACCAAATCTTTGCCCATTCACTTACATTATCTAAATTCCTTTTTAGGTTCATATCCTTCTCACTATATACTTTGTCTATCTTAAGTTCCTAGCACCGATCCCTGCTGGTCTGCTGGTCAAAACAAAATACCTGAAAATACCAATCATCTACCCATGATCATTTGTTAACGGCTACACCATGAGCTCTTATTTTATGCAGTAACCTTTGATTTAGAACTTAGATTTCCAAATGGCATTTGATAAAGTACACATTCCCCTTTGACCACATTTGTTATTACTTCTCCAAAGAACTTTATTAACTTAGTCAAACTCGATTTCCCTCTCACGAAACTATCTTAACTCTATCTAATTGCATCAAGATTTTCCAGTTTCTCTGCTGTAATCTCCTTAATAATAGATTTTAGCCTTTTGCCTGTGACAAGTGTTAGGCTAATTGGTGTGTAGTTATCTTCTTGCTGTTTCCTTCCTTTCTTGAATTGAGGAGTAACATCTGTTATGTTTTAAACTAATGGAACCTTTGCATAATCAAGGGAATTTTAGAAAAGTACAGTCAGTGCATCTACTCTGTCCTTAATGAATTAATCCATTAATTTTAGAAACTTTGGACAAAATCCATTAGGTTCTGAGCCTTTAGTTTATTCAGGTTTCTCATTACCATTTCCTTTGTGATTGTAATTGTTTTACTATCATAGAATCCCTACAGTGTGGAAACAGGCCCTTTGGCCCAACAAGTCCACACCAACCCTGAGAGCATCCCACCCAGACCCATCTCCTACCTAATCTAC